TTTCTAATTTTCCTACATTCATGGCTCTCACATTCCATGTTCCAATCACTAGGGTCTGCTTACAACTGTTCCTTCTCCTTTGTATTTCCATACTTGATAGTTCTGCCTAGGTTGCCCTTTCGGTTAGTCTGCATGTGTTCTGTTGTGCATAAGGTTTTCAGAGGCCTGCTATTTCAGAAGTGGGTGGCCAATCCTTCTTCCTAGTCTGTCTTAATCTGAATGTTCAGATTTAGAGCAGTACCTGACAGACAAGCAATTTGTGGAGCAGTGAAATTTATGATTAAAAAAAGTGGTATAGGTGAGCCCTCGTGGCCTAGTGGCAAGAAGCTATACTGCAATTCTGGAAGTGAGTGGTTTGAATCCACTAGATGCTCTGCTGGAGATGGAGGGACAATCTCCTTCTATACCAATCAGATCCAATTTGACCGTACACATAGAAAAAAAATTTTAAAAAGAGGTGTACATTCACAAATTGAATTACAAACTTTAACGTTTTTGTATGGAATCCCCCCACCCCCATAGTTCATATATCTGTAAAATAGAGGTCGTGGAAGTACTGACTCCCCTCACACAAATTCATCAGCTAATTTATAGTTGTTAGGCCCCCTCAAGTTGACTACAACTCATAGTGAACCAATGGACAACAGCTCTGAACCTTGTTCTCCCTGTGCTAACAGGTGATCTCTGAATGTTCAAGCCCGTTGTGGCAGTCATTGTGTCAGTCCATCTCGCTGAGGATCTTTCTTTCACTCATCCTCAAGAATTCATCAGTATCTCTCTTAAAAAGAAAAACAGTGCATACCATACCTCATCAAAATCAAGTGTCCCATTCAAAGGACTGAGATCATCTTTAGCTGTCTCATCTATGGTCCAGTGAAGTTGGACGGCTCCTTTACCTCCTGGAGACCGGACAACTGTTAATGTTACATAAGAATCAGGGACATCAGAGAAAAGGGTCTCCTCAACTGTAACCTGTAAGGAGAAAACCCAGTATGGTAAAAAAGGAACAGAAAAAACAAAGCTAATCAATTTCTCTTAAAAAATATATTAAGGTATGGTACAGGAACAGCAATTTTTATATTTTTATTTCTATTCATGGGTTGTTACATGACAGGAAAAATGGGTTTTGCTAAACCCATTTCCTTTTTGTCTTGGTTATTTTAGGTAGTTTAGTTAGATGACATTTCTTAGTCTTTCTTATAATGTTGTTGCTATTGTTGTTGTGTGCCATCAAGTCAGAACAGACTCCTAGCTAGCCCTCCTATGGGTTTTCAAAGGTGATAAATCACACAGGAGAAGACTGACCATTCATCTCCCATTGAGTATTGGTGGATTCAAACTGTGTGCCTTCAGGATTACAGCACGTCTTCTTACCACTAGGCCACCAGAGCTAGAGCCTTACGATAGAATTCTGAACAACAGAATAAAGCAGTAGCAAGGTCCAACACACTGGCCATAAACTTTTATTTTTCTTTAAAGACATACCTCTTGTCAATAGCTTACTGGAGCATGTTTTTTTGGGTGTGATTTTGGTTTTTTAAAATAAAATTTTTATTTCATACTGGTTTACTTATATAGGTCATATACATTATTTTTCACACTGGATTTTCCTCATTCCCTTTCTCCACCCCTTCCTCCATCCATCAAACTGTGTGACCCTATGATGAACGACCCCATCCACCTAACACCTCCCATTCTCAACCTTCTTCTAGGTGAACAGAGAAGATGCCATCAAAGTAGAAGAGGACAAACAGACAGACAGAAGGAGTCTGGCTGCTGAATTACCCATTGAAAGAGAGATTATTTTGTTTTTCTTTTAATTGGGGTTTTAGATGTTTTGTTTTATTTTGTTTTTTGAGAGATCTGCCCAACAAGGTACAATGGCAAAGAATTCTTTTATGAGGAAGAAATAAATCTGGATTATGTTAAGGAACTGGGTTTGAGGAGTTTTTTTAATAAGGTTAAAGAGCTCTGGTGGTGCAGTGCATAATGTGTTGGGTCACTAGTAGAAAGTTTGAATCCACCAACAACTCTAGGCAAGAAAGTTAAAGTAAGCCATCCCTTACAAGAGTAACAGTCTCAAAAACCTGTTGGAGGGGTGCCAGAAGTCAAATGGACTCAAGGACAGTGGAATGTTTTGTTAATATATCCAAGATCTGTATGTAATAAAGATGTAAGCTAAACTCAGAAATGAAATTGCAACTTTTCATAATCCAAGTTTGAAATAAATTTTATCAGCTTTATCTAATGAAAATAAATTCTTTGTCTCAATTTTCCTCTTTTATTGAGAGACTTGGCTCAAATAAAGTGTTTGGTGTACTTCCCTGATTAAAACAAGCTTGGAAGCAGGAGTGGCATCCACTTCTGAAATAACTTGCTCCCAGAAACCCTATGAACTTGGAGAAATGAACAAAGTTATACAGTGTTCAGGTCTTTCATTCGTAGGGTCACTAGGAGTCATCTGAAATGAACAAAGTTATACAGTGTTCAGGTCTTTCATTCGTAGGGTCACTAGGAGTCATCTCTGACTTGACAGCCCTTAACAACAACATACTCTGTAAAGCAAATTCCAAATTGAAATTTTTTGTTCAATTTGTTTTGTTCAATTTATTTTGCTTTGTAACCACAAAGCTCAGTGCAATGCTTTCTATTTTCAAGTTGGACAGATGTTTAACAACAAACTTAAAACACAATTCCTTACTAGTCTTCAATGATACTTTGTATTGATGCCCAGATCTGAGAGTTGGGTATTGTATGATGTCAGCTTCTGTCTAGACAATTTTCAACTTACAATGACCCCCACATGTGAGAGCAGAACTTCCCAACAGGATATTCTCAGTCGTAGTCTTTAAAGAAATAGATCATCAAATATTTCTTTCATATAATGGCTAGGGGTGTTCAAACTACCAAACTTTAGTTAATAGCCAAGAATAAAATGATTACAACATCAGAGATCATTCAGAAATTTGAAACCAACAAAGATCAATGAGCTCTTACTATGTCTTAATTCTTTCATACACTCTGTATTATTCAATTATTTATGGTTTTTAAACCCTTAGTTTAAGATTTCAAAAAAAAAATACTGTGGTTTCTCTTTGCTAGAACTTTGGTAGGCTTAAGTATATTCCCCTAATGAGCGACACACTCACTTTGACAGGAACTCTGATGGCCTACAAGGTAAGGTACAAACTCAAAGTCAAGTGGTTTGTATTCACCAACTGCTCTGAGGGAGAAAGATGGGCAATCTCCCTCCCACTCCCACAGACGATTTACAACCTCTGAAAACCACTGAATAGCCAGCTATGAGTCAGGTCTAAATTGGGGGTATAGAACAACATTTACTTTGATAGATTTATATTAATAATCTTTTCCCAATGTCCTTCAGCTCTGAATCTAATCAGTGGAAGTAAATAAGGTTAACAGAGAGTTTACTATATGCTGTATATCTTAGATACATATTAAAAGATAGCAACAGTGTTTGGTTGTAAGGGAAAGGAGACAAAAGAGAAGCAGCTACAAAGAGCTGAGTGGAAACTTAGCACCAGCACTGCTATGACAGTTATCCTCAGAGCCAAGAGAACGTGGAAATTATGAAACATATTAACATCACATGCAAAGAAAATACTGTTGTAGATAATTCAAACATGACTATAACTGTACATAGACAAGGAACTACCAGATAGACTACCAAATAGACAGACATGAAAGCCACATTTACTAGAGGCCATGGCACCAGGGATAGTATTGCTGATGTCAGATGAATGCTGGCTGAAAGCAAAGAATATCAGAAGGATGTCTATTTGCACTTCATTGACTATGCAAAGGCATTTGACTGTGTGAGTCATAACAAAAATGTCTGACATTGAGAAGAATGGGTATCCCAGAGCACTTAATTGTGCTCATGCAAAACCTATACCTAGACCAAAAGGTTACTGTGAGAACAGAGCACGGAAACATTTACATGGCTTAAATTTAGGAAAGGTGTATGTCAGTGTTGTGTCCTTTCTCCATACGTATCTACTTTGTATGCTGAACAAATTATATGAGAAGCTAGACTCAGTGAAGAAGAATGTGACATGAGGATTAGAGGAAGGCTCAACAATAATCTTCATTATGTACAGGATACAGTATTTCTTGCTGAAAGTGAGGAGGACTTGAAGCACTTCTGAAGAAAGTTAAACAATGAAGCTTCAATATGGATTGTATCTCAATGTTAAGACAACAAAAGTCTTCACCACTAGACTGATAAACAGGAGTGGCATCCACTTCTTAAACAAACATGCCTCTGGAAACTCTGTGAACTTGGAGAAACGATAATTATAGAAAGGCTTCATGTCTTTTGTTCATAGGGAGGCTATGAGTTGTGCTCAACTCAAGGACAAGCAACAACAACAATAGACTGGCAGGCAACATTATAATGTTGTTGTTGTTGTTGTTCTCATGTGCCGTTGAGTCACCTGAGACTCATAGCGACCCTATGTAGAGCAGTTCTGAATCTTGCCCTGTCCTGAGACAGTCTCACTAATTCCAACACACCAAACCCCCTTGCCCCAGTTATCCATCTCCTCCAAAGTCTTCCTCTCCTGCACTGTCCATCCACCCTTCCGAACATGATGTCCTTCTCCAAAGATCAGTCTCTCATGTCCACATGCCTTAAGTATGTGATACAAAGCTTCAAAATCCTAGCCTACAAGGAGAAACTTGGTTTCATCCTGTCCAAGACAGTCCATGTTTGGACTGTCCATGTTTGGACAAGTCCTCTTCTTGGCAGTCCATGGTATGTTCAAGACTTTTCCAGACCACAATTCAAAGGCATTGATTCTTCTGTCATCCTTTATCACTGTCTAGCTTTCTGACTCATACCACATAACTGTGAAGACCATGACTTGGATTAGGAGCAACTTAGTTTCCAAATTGACATCGTTGCTCTGGAGAGGTCCCTGGAAGCAGATTTTCCCAATGCAATTCGTCTTTTGATTTTCTGGTGTTAAGAGTGTTGACTGTAGGCAAGCTCTAGTAGCCTAGTGGCAAGAAGCTGCACTGCAATCCTAGAAGTGCATAGTTCAAATCCACCAGATGCTGTGCTAGAGGAGGGACAATCTGCTCCCGTACCTGTCAGATCTGATCTGACGATACTCACAAAAAAATTAAAAAGAAAAAAAATATTTTAAAAAAGAGTGTTGACTGTGGCACGCTGTAATTGCTCACAGCCTCAATCTCTTCTCCATCTATCATAGTGCTGACAATTGGCTCAGTGGTGAGAATCTTTGTTTTCTTGATGTTGAGCTTCAAACCATATTGAAGACAATAATCCTTGACCTTCTACAGCAAACGCTTCAGGTCTTCTTCAGTTTCAGCAAGCAAGGCTGTGTCATCTGCATAACACAGGTTGTTGATGAGTCTTCCTCCAATCCCGATGCCACACTCCTCCTGATGAAGCCCTGCTTTCCAAATGACCTGTTCTGCAGATTGAAAAGATATGGAAACAGGATGCATCCCTGATGCACTCCTTGGCTGATTTTGAACCATGCAGTGTTTCCTTGCTCTGTTCTGAGAACTGCTTCAAATTCTAAGTACAGGTTTTGCATAAGCAGAGTCAAGTGTTCTGGGATTCCTGTTTTCTTCAAGATTAGCTACAATTTGTTGCGATAAACACAGTCAAATGCCAATGAAACACAAATATACATTCCTCTGGTACTCTTTGTTTTCTGACAAGATCTATATGACATTGGCAATAAGACCTCTTTTAAACCCATTTTGTATTTCTCGTAGTTCCCTGTCAATGTACTGTTCCATCATTTCTGGATAATCTTCAGCATCATGATAATCAACATCACGCTAGATGGAGAAAAGATTGTTAACAACTTCGTGTTCTTTTTATCTACAATCAATACACACAGCATCAACTGTCAGAATACCAAGGACACATATTGTACTGGGAAAGTCTGTAGTCAGGGGTTTCTACACATTAT